TTGTGGCCTCAGTTCTAAATATTATGTCTGAAGGAAACCAGGCAGAGCTTATGGCCTACTCAATATCATCCCTACAATGAAGTATGGTGGCATCATGGTGTCTGGCTATTTTTCAGCAGAAGGGACTGGAGACTAATTAGGGTTTAGGGAAAGCTGAAAGTAGAAAAGTACAGAGACATCCTCAGTGAAAACCTGTTCCACATGTGGAACAGGTTTTCACTGAGGATTCAGAACCTTACAATTACTTGAAGGTTCACTTTCCAACATGACAATGACAACACAGGAGTGGCTTAGGGACAACTCTACGGATGTCCTAGAGTAGCCCAGTTACTGACCTGAACTCTATTGAACATCTCTGTAGAAACCTGACAATGCCGACTTTCATCATCCAACCTGACAAAACAAACAATAAGAAGAAAAAAGTTGGGAAATAAATGTACAATGGTTGTTGCTTGTTTACTTTACTACTGTTTTCAGTTAGACTGACTAACATAATTACATAATTAAGACTTACATGTTAGTTATCAAGGGCATGAGTAAAATGTTGTGAATGTGTGTAAATCATAATGAAATCCATTTGAACTATTGTCTATAAGTGTGGAAATTAAGGTAAAGAACAACGGAGTGTTATTAAAGACATAACCAACTCCTTACAGGAACCAGTCAACGCAGAAACACTGAAAAAGTTATCCACCTCAGTTGTCAAGGGCAACCTGTACGTGCGACGTCTGACAAGCTGCGTAAATTGCTGCATTCAGGTACAGTGCGACATAACCAACTTATGCCGGCTCGCATGAAAAAAAGGCAGCAAGCCGGGTGCTGTTGCCTGAGTTATGTTTCGAACTAAATTAGCCTTCTGTTGTGTTTTTCCTAAATAAGCTTCTTTTTATAAAAGGTACAATACATGAAGAAACCTGGACCAGTCCTAGATTGAAATGCATTAGAGGTTTCGACGACAGCAAAGTTGGTGGTAGAACACATAACTTGCAAGTGAAGAAAGGTTATTAAAACGTTATTTTGGGGCAAACATTTTAAACAGTTTTATTACATACGTGCTGATGCTAGACATGCCGATTTTTGTCCATGATGTAACCATTTAAATCAAAGTTCGTTTAGAAAAACTGCCCCAATAAGTGCCTGAAGGAGTTTCAAGACGAAAGGCAGTTAGCGAAAGGCAATACTTTTCTGTAGACACACCTGGCGCTTGTAAAATTCATTTTTTGTTTGTTTGTTTTAGGGAAGGGGGCATATTTATTCCCGAGAAACTTCAGAGTAGGAGTTTACAGCGGGTCCTTAAACGCAGCACATGTTGCGGCCAGCAGCCAGCGGCAGCAGACCGGTATCCGAGCGGCACAGCGCCGCATCACATAGAGCTGAGTGCGTCAGAAACAGCCGAGAAACGCTGCGATTCTCCGCTTTAGTTCCCAGTGATTCAGTGCCAGCAGCGGAGTGGCGATGCTCTAGAACATGTAGGAGTCGACTGTTTCTTTTTAAGCCACCATTTTCTTTTTTTATTTTCCTTTTTTGTACTTTTATCGGATAGCCCGCAAACTGTGAAACATCTTGTCACGCCGTCGTCGGGAGTCCCCATTCATCTGAGGTCGCTTGTATCGTTGAACCGAGCAGCGAACTTTGGTGAAAACTACACAGCAACTCAGCCGTCGTCGTTATTCGAAAGACTCTGTGACATATTTGGCCTGACACCACTTTCACCATGAGGTAAGAAGCCCCTGTCTTCATTCTGAAATAGTGTGAGAGGAGTGAGTGGTTTTTTTTTCGGGGGGGGGAGAAGAGATGAAACAATGAAAACTACAAAATTACGCCAACTTTGCTTCCATAACGGCTTGTATCGAGTAACCGGTGCGCGCCTGCTTGCAGTGCCGTGTTCGCCTTATTGGAGGGTGTTTGTTTGTGGTCAGGTTTTATTAACGCCAGCAGGCGCGCTCAGTTGAATCTGAATTTGTGCTGCATTTGTGGACGTGCATGGGTTTGGAATGGCGCTCGCTTATTCCTCCTGCTGCTACTCCCACTCTGCATGAGAGAGGATTATCTTTCAGCGCTGCTGCTGATGGGGTGGCATTTATTTGATGCCACATCATGATTGTCACACACGCGCAGAGAAGCACACAGAGAATGGCTGGTAAATAAACGCTAGCTCCATAGACACCCAGCCTGAGCGAGTCTGGTGGCAAATGGCGAAGACATATGATAGCTGCTTAAACACATAGTGCAGTTCTGACATGTGTCATGAACTCGGGAGGACACGGGTTTGACAATGTTCGTGCAGCAGGTTGGATGTACCACCTGACAAAACCATCATAGCTTACCATGTGTGGCTGTTATGTAGCGTGGATGAAGTCTCTGTTTTCCATTAAAACATGATATCTTCTGAAGGGAAAGCCTATTCTTGCAGATACTTTGAACGGCTGCTTATTCTATGGAGGTCTGTTTTTGTCCAAATTATTTTCGGATATCTATTGTGCAAATTGTATTTGCATCCTTTCAACTTTTCTTCACTTATGGCAAAACACTTTTTGACAAGCAGGTTGTGCTTGATGGTGTCTCTTTTGACACAAACATGTGTCAGTGCTTGTTTAATGTGGAGGGAAGACCCATCCCACACTGTGGTGTTTGGTGGTGACATAACAACGTGGGCTTTTGTGTAAGGAAAAAAGGGGAATGTTGAATGATGTACAACATAGAAACAGATGGTAAGAAATCTTTTAAACCCATAGAGGAAAAAGCTGAATGAATTCTGTTAGTACCGTAGTGCTGTGATGTGGTGACCACAGTGATATTCAGTGACAGCAAAATAATCGCTGACGAGTCTCAAGTTAAATGTTTCTCAACTCCAAGGTGAGCATCTGAAGTGACTAGAAATTACTATTACTAATGATAGAATCAGATGAAAATGGGCTCTAGTTTTGTCTCATTCATTTGGCAATAAAAACACTGCTTATGTTTGGAGAAGGGAGTAACTTACAACACGGTGGTGGGACTATTATGCTGTGGGAACGCTTCAGTGTGTTTGGAACTGGGAATCTCATCTAGAAGGAAATATGAATAAAGAAGGACGTGAAGATTTTAAAAGAGAACCTCAAGCAGTCAGGAGCAAAAGTGGGTCTAGATTATCGCTTTAGTCAGAGAAATGACCCAAAACATGCGCAACTTCTTGTGAAGAAACATCATCCGTAGTGAGTGTCCACATGAACAAAATTTCAGCCTCAGTGTGGGAGTGAAAATGAATGCTGTGTTACTTTGCTCTCTCTGGGGGTCATGATGTACAATGCATTTCTTGTGGCCTTATTTTCCACGATTCGGTGTAACATTGTTGCACAAGCCTTGAGGTTCCTGAAATGCCTCCTGCATGAGCAGCCACACTGTAATGTTACCACCAAAGTGTCAAGGTCTAGCACTGGCCTTGTTTAGATACATCATGCATGAAAGCTGTATTCTTTTTATTTTATTTTTTTTGTATTTTTAAAAAATTTTTTTTTCTTCAGTTCATGTAGAGCTGCCATCTCCACAGGAATGTGTCCTGAAGAAGTGTTGGATTTACTTGATTCTGTTTGACATGGCTAACATAGCACGGCAATGTTTGTCAGACATTTCCTGTTGCGTGTTTCATTTGTGATGCTCACATTCATCCAGACAAAGCTCAGTGTCAAAACCGCTTCTGTGGACATTTGAGATCTTGATTTTAGTGTGTGTGTGTGTGTGTGTGTGTGTGTGTGTGTGTGTGTGTGTGTGTTAAGAAGTGAGACATGCAGTGTGCAGGAGGCCTGCCTCTTTAAAGAAAACCCTTAATTGAAGCCAGCTGTTGGAATCTCTCTGTAGGCCAAACTGTGGTTAACAATAGTTTTGGTTGTTTCAAAGAGCCGCATGTTGCGTCCGTGTCCCAGAATGGAAACCGCTAACTTCTCATGTCTCTCATTTTCCCATCCTCTTCCTCATATTTCTTAACAACTCCCTCATTAGTTGTTTTTAGTCTCTTATGAGCCCCTGAGCATGTCTTTTAAAGTACAAGGAGGAGCGCTGAAAATGAACATCACCAAACTGCAGATAGCAACAGAGAGAAATAAAGGCTGATGTAATTTTTAACACAAGTTGTTTTCAGAGGCAGAAATCTTGTTTAGAAGGAATGTATTTGTGTGTCTGTGTCATAGAACAGGTGTGTGGACGAGTGGCTGCCCCAGCTGCTTGCAGCTGACTCATGCAGGACACTTGTGTGGATCTGTTGTTGTTGTTGGTTTGTTTTTGTTTTTTTTGTCCTTTCCTTCTCCCCCATGTGCCACATGGCTCTGACCACATGAACACCCCAAAGTTATTATCCCATTGAGTATTCAGTACATGCTCCTGAAGGTGAGTATTAGCAAGCCATTTTCAAAATTATCTCCAGCAAAGCTCTGTTCAATTTGTTCCAATCATCACAGCAAAGAAGGCAGTTTGATTATTTAAATCGCAGCTGGGCGAAGGTGACGGTGGGTGGATGAGTTGACATTTATTTTTGCGCCAGCCACGTTGAAGGGTTCCCCACCCTCCCAATATATATTTAAATTTACAATAAGATATAAACCTTTACAATATATATATTTTTTTAGATGACTAATTAAACTTTTTTTTCTTTCTTTCATAAAACATTTTTGCTTTTAAAATGGTAACTGCTACTTTGCAGAGGCCAAGGAGACTTACTGAAAAACCCAAACTACTGACTGTCAATAAAGAAGTGAACACAGCAAAGTCTGGAAATGCAGTAGTGCCTTGAACCTGCATTCTTTCCAACAGCCATCCAGGGGCTACTCTTGTGGTTGCAAAATGTAGTGAGATTGTGTAAAAGTATGAGTGTGCAGTGTTCTTGGTTTCTCAGTCACATTCATCCTTTGCTTTTGATACCAAGGTTTAAAAACGGTGAAACTCAAGTCTTCAGAACATCAGTCCACAAACTGATTATATGGCTTTAGCAATCTTTTATATAGTGTCAATAACTCAGATATACAATATTAGCTTTTTTAAATTACAATACAATTTTATTTATTTAGCACGTTTAAAACCAGGGGATACACCAAAGTGCTTCACAGTAAAAATAACGGTAAATGATTACACTGAACAGTAAGTCATTAAAACAAGGTAAAATAGAGAAAGTAGAGAAAAGAAACAAAAAGCATTAGTAAGTAGAGAAAGGGAGAGATCATGATTATCCAGAGAAATGAGTAGCGATACAGCAATTAATGAGGTGAGAATTGGCAAATTAGAAAAGCCAGGTTGAATAGGTAAGTTTTCAAGTGTGCTTTAAAGGATTGAATGGAGTCAGAGGCACAAATGGTAGCAGGACGACTATTCCAGAGGCAAAAGCACGATCACCCCTAGTCTTCAGACGGTGCCTGGGCTGGGCCAGAAGTAACTGACCGGAAGATCGTAAAGAACGGCTGGGAGTACAGAGACTGAGGAGGTCGGTGAGATAGTCAGGGGCTATCTCACAGACCTTTGGTGAGATAGCATTTGAAAGTAAGCAGCAGAACTTTAACCTGTTAGCAGTCGGACGTACCGCCCACGGTACATTGGATGGTTTAGGGGACTAATTGTAAATTTGTAGGACTGCTAAGGGGTTAAAATCAATACAAAATTTAATAGGCAGCCAATGTAAGTCAAACTTTCTAAATTTGCAGTTTAAAAAAAAAAACTACAATGAAAAGGTTATGTGAGTGGTTTGGTTTGTCTGTTTGTTAGTAGAACATCTCAGAAAGGTGGGGAAATATAATTCCAGTTTAACCATAGGTGAGGTTAGGCCCAGTTCACAAGTGATAAACTTCAGCTAAACGGATTTCGGAATTATTTGAAGGATTCTTTACTGTTGCAAAATTGGGCATTTTGCGTCAGAACTTACCCAGTTTGATATCAATTAGTTACAAAATAAACAAAAAAAAGGATTGAGAGATGGTATTGATGACGTTAAAACGCCTATTGATTGTTTCACATCTATGTGTCTTGCTAGATCCAAGAACTTAGTTTATGAGTTCTTAGTGAGGTGCGTGTGTGAATGCTGGATGTTTAGCAACATGGCCTCGTCCTGACTCTTAAGGTAAAAGGTACCTGGTGAATGGTCCTTCTTAAACCATTAGGAGGAGACTTTATATAATGCTTGTCAGCTTATTCTTCCATGTTCTGTCAGGGCACACATACCACCGATGCCAGCTTATCTCTGGCTGTTTGATAAGCAGCACTGTAAGGGCGATGGGGGGCTGTGAGGCGTCACAGTAATAGTTCTTGACAACTGCTGAAGGGCCACGTGCCTCTGAGGCACTACAGGTTCACGCCACAGATGAATGGCAGGAGCTGAGGTCAGACTCCATGCAGCTTGGAACATTTTAATGTAAGTGTTGCACTGGAGCAACTGTTTATGAAGAGAAAAACACCCCCAGTCCCTCATGAGTTGAAGCTGGACTGCAGCCAGCTATGGTATCTAGTCCAAATGAGATATTAATGAGGTCATCCTAAGGCTAATTTGAAATTGGAATAAATGCAATACACTTTACGTTGACTTAAAAGACTGAAGACACAGTCACTGATTCTGGTCTCTTCTTTGGGTTTATCGTATCTCAGAGTGACAGAGTCAGGGATCCTTTCCTCGTCTTTACAGGTCAGATTAATAGATTTTCTGACAATAATATTACAAGAAGTCTAAGGAACTTGGAAAGAAAAGCGTCTGGACTTCTTTAAGT